ACATATAAAAGTGATTATTCTTTAGTCTCTATGGAGATATGGAAATGTACACAGCTAATTCCAACTATTAAGACCTGCACTGGATTGAGGTAGTATGACACTGAACTGTTTCAGACTAAGAAGGAAACTTGGAGTTATGTTTCAGTGTTGACAGAAATGCTCCTATTATTCCAAATTTGATAATATCTTTTGTAAATGTGAATTTAATTACTAAAGTAGGCTGTCTTAAAATTTAGATAGTGGAAAATATTACTCTAACTTTTTTCCAGTCCCCAACTCATTTTATTTAAGAGAAGGCAAAGTGAAAATGACATAATTGATTAGGAATGTAAGTAACTAGCACTTGAGTACAAGTGGCCTCTTTCTGTCAAGAAGGGAGTTCATTACTTGCCGCTGTTCAAAGAATGACATGAAGCCAATAAAGAACTTTGTGCAAAATCACTCCTTACCAAGTGTACAGTTTCCACGTATGATCCAGTTCCAAAAGACTGTCAGAGTATATGTATTATTTGGAAATTTATTACATATGAAAAATATTTATTTTTCTAATTCACACTTGCTCTTTTCCAATTTTCTGACCTTTCATTTGGAATTCTAAACTAATGAAGACACTCAACCCAATAGCATTTATATTGCTCCATGAAAACTGATGCTTCATACAAAAGCACAAAAGATTTGAACAAATTTAAAACATTATTAATGCTGTTTAAAAGTTTAGTTTTGTGGTTTCTTCCCTAGATGTAGCCTTTGACTTTTGGAATAGTAAATAAATCTCTACCACTCTGCTTCCCTAAAAGATTCAGGGCTGTTTTATTTTACCTTTTTATTTATTTATTTTTTTTTTCTGTCTGTGACATCTTTCTGAACTTTGCTTATTCATCAACTGTGGCTGGAAGTGCACATGATGCATTATTTTGTCCTGTGACAAAATCAGATTTGCTAAGCTTCTTTTTTTGCAATGGATAAGAAATAAGTTTTACCATGTAAAAAGTGAGAGTGTAGTTTATATTTTAAAACTATCATATACCATATTAAGTTGCAGTAGTTTTCCCAATTCTGTTTTTGTTTTTTCATAGCATTTACAAATTGTATGGAGCCATTTTTAGAAGAGGAGAAAAAGGACTTTTGCATAATATTGGCATTGATCTAAAAGTTGTTTATTTCATGATAGATTTGAAGTGCATTTACTATGGTTAAATACCATTGATAAAACAGATATTGTGAATAGTAGCAAAGTAATGCTATTTATTCCTGTAACATTAGTAACTACGGAGAATGTAGATTTTCAAAGAAAATTGACACAATATAGTTTTGTAACTCTAAAGAAAAAACTTGCATATCAAATGCACTACTCTAAAAAAATACACTGTTTTCTTAAAAAATAAGTATGTATGCACACGTATACATCACTCATCACATGTATTGTGGGCATAGTCACACATACACAGATTGAAATTAATAGTCATTTCAAATTTATGTTTGAGTAGATTTGTTAAAGATATGAAAGATGTTAACTTAAGAGCAAAGAATCAAGAAGGTTGTGTAAAAATTGGTGATTGAAAGAAGTGGTGAAAGAAAAAAGAGAAAGACAAAGGATACTATGTGATAAATGGTCAGGATCTATTAAGGTCCTGTTTACTTCAGTGAATATAGTTACTTGACTCTGATTCCTAGGCAGACTTTATTTCTGATATTTTGATCTTTCATTTCTTACGTTGTTATGCATAGAGATCCTGTACATGTTTGTTAGATTTATACCTGAGTATTTATGTTTTAGGTGCTATTATAAATGCTAATTTAAAGACATTTTATTAAAAAGACACTTACCCTCAAATGTTTATAGCAGCACAGTTCATAGTTGCAAAGATGTAGAAACAACCCAAATGCTCATCAATACATGAGTGGATTAATAAAATATGGTGTATGTATACTATGGAGTACTACTCAGCCATAAAAAATGGTGAACTAATACCCTTCGTAACAGCCTGGATGGAACTAGAGGCTATTCTGTTAAGTAAAGTATCACAAAAATGGAAAAACAAACACCATGTGTACTCACTATTAAATTGGAACTAATCAATCAACACTCATGTGCACATACGGTAGTAAAACTCAGCGGAAACCAAGCAGGTGTGAGGGGAGAGATGGGGATGGGTAAATTCACACCTAACAAATACAATGCATGTTATCTTGGTGATGAGCATACTTATAACTTTGAATACATGTAACCCAAACATTTGTAGCCCTGTAATACTCTGAAAAAATTCAAATTCTAGTTTTTCATTGCTAATATAGTAATATAAAAATAACTGATTTTTGTATATAACCTTGTAACCTACAGCATGACTATCTTTGCTTATTAATTTCAAGGATTTTTTTTTGTCAATTCTTTGAGTTTTTCTTTTTATTTCATCATATTATGGTCTGCAAACTAAGGCAGTGTTATGTCTTCTTTCCCAATCTGTAGACTTCTTATTTTCTTTCTTTGTCTTTATCACTAGCTAGGACTTCAAGCAAAATGTTTTACAGAAGTGGTAAGAGAGGCATCCTAGCCTTGTTCCCAATATTAGGTGAAAAGCTCTCAGTTTCTCACTATTGTGATCTTAGGTATAGGCTTTTTGTGGGTGTTCTCTGTCAAGTGTAAGAAGTTCCCATTTATTTCTAGTCTCTTGAGAGTTTTTATTATAAATAGGTATTAGATTTTGTCAAATGCCTTTTCTATATCAACTGATTAGGACATATAATTTTCTTCTTTAGCCTGTTGATATAGTGGATTACATTAATGGATTTTCATATGTTGAACTGCCCTTGTCTACCTGGAATAAATCCTACTTGGTTGGAGTATATAATTCTTTTTATACACTGTTGGATTTAATTTGTTAATGTTTTATTGAGGAGTTTGGTATCTACTTTCATGAGAGATGTTAGGTTGTAGATTTCCTTTCTTGTAATGTCTTTATCTGGCTTTGATATTAGAATGAGTCACAAAGTATTTGCTATTACTAATATTTTCTAGAAAGATTGTAGAGAATTGTCATTTCCTCCTTAAATAAGATTGGAAGTATCACCAGTGATCCCATCTGGGCCTGGTGCTTTCTGTTTTGAGAGGTTGTTAATCACTGGCTTAATTTCTTGAATATATATAGTATTATTCAGGTTATCTATTTCTCCCTGCATGAGTTTCGGTAGATATATCATTCAAATATTTGGTCTATTTCATCTATGATATCAAATTTGTGGTGTGGACTTTTTCATGATATTCTTTTATTATCCTGTTAATATTCATGGGATCAATTGTGATGATGCCCCCTCTTACATTTGTGATATTGGCAATTTATGTTTTCTCTTTTTTTGCTCCTTGGTTATACTGGCTAGAGGTTGGTTGATCACTTTTACTGATTCAAAGAAGCACTTTTTGTTTCATTTACTTTTCTTCTTGTTTTCCTGTTTTCAATTCTGTTGATTTCTGCTCCAATTTTTATTATTTTTCTTGTGCTTGCTTTAGGCTTGAAATGCTCATCTTTCTCTAGTTTTCTAATATGGTAGCATAGGTTATTGATTTTAGAACTTTATTCTTTTTTAATATGCACTTAATGCTATAAATTTTCTGATAAGCACTGCTTTCACTGTACCCCACAAAGTTTGATATGTTGTATTATCATTTTTATTTAATTCAAAAGATGTTTAATTTCTCTTGAGACTCTTATTTGACCAATGTATTATACAGGAGTGTTCTGTTTAATCTCCAAGTACTTGGGAATTTTCCATCTATATTTCTATTACTTATTTCTAGTTTAATTCTGTAGTAGTCTGAGAAATAAATTGTCCAATTCCTATTTTTTTAAATATGTTGATTCATGAAGGTGTGTCTTATGGTCTAGAATGTTATATATCTTGGTGAATGTTCTATATGACCTCAAAAAAATGTGTATGCATGGCTGAGTGCAGTGGCTCACACCTGTAATCCTAGAACTCTGGGAGGCTGAGCCAGGAGGATTGCTTGAGGTCAGGAGTTTGAGACCAGCCTGAACAAGAGTGAGACTCCATCTCTACTAAAAATAGAAAAAATTCTCTGGGCATTGTGGTAAGTCCCTGAAGTCCCAGCTACTCAGGAGGCTGAAGTAGGAGGATCATTTGAGCCCAGGAGTTCGAGGTTGCAGTGAGCTATGATGACACCTCTGCACTCTAGCTGGGGTGACAGAGAGAGACTCTGTCTCAGAGAAAAAAAAGTATTCTTCTATTTTTGGATGTAGAATTCCATAAATGTTAGTTAGAGAAAGTTTATTGATAGTGCTATTTAGATTAATGATATCCTTATTGATCTGTCAGTCACTGAAGGGGTCTTGAAGCCTCCAACTATAATTGTAAATTTGTTGATTTCTGTTGCAGTTCTATCAGTTTTTGTTTAAAATATTTTATTTTTACTTATATCTTGTTTCAGTTTTTGTTTAAAATATTTTATTTTTACTTATATCTTCTTTCACACTCTTCCTTTACTTAGATCTAGTTTCTGAGCTATATCTTTTTCCTTCTCTCTGAAGAATTTCTTTTTGTTTTAGCATTTCCTAAGTTGGGTTGATAGAAATGAAAGAATTGGCATCAAGATGAATAAATTTTGAATGACAACGACCTGGTTCAGAAATCTTGCAGAAGAGAAACTAATGAAAAGGAACGTAGGCTCCTTACTTTAGTTCTAGAAAGCTTAAAAATCTAAGCAGGGTAAGTAGGCTAAGGACCTTTTTCTGTGGTCTGGGTTCAACCCTGTTTCTTACCTCTTCCCTGTTATGAAAGCATTTTGAAATTTTGCTCAAGTTTGATTATTTGACAAGAGTGAGATGATGCACTTCTGACATTCAGAGTCTGTCAGATTTAGTCTAATTATAAAGAATAAAAAAAAAAACTTAATGAAAAATAGAATATATTAATTTCCCATTGCTGCTGTAATAAATTACTATAAACTTAGTGGCTTAAAACAATGCAAATGTACCATATTATCTTACAGTTCTGGAAGTACGAAATCTGAAAAGCATCTCGCTGAGTTAAAATGAAGGTGTTGGCAGAGCTGTGTTCCTTTCTGGAAATTCTAGAAGAGAATCTATTTTGTTGAATTTTCCAGCTTCTAGAGGCCTCCATTGATTCTTTCTCAAATCGCATCATTCTAACACTGACTCTTCTGCTGCCTCCAACTTAGGCTTTTAACGACCCTTATAATTACATTGGACCCACCCAGATAGATAGCACAAAACAATCTCCCCATTTTAAGCTCATTTAATTAGCGACCTTATTTCTTCCATGCCGTGTAACTTAACATATTCTCAGGTTCTGAGTATTAGGACATGGATATCTTTGCAGGAGCCATTATTCTACCTACCACGTAGGTTATTCAGATATTTTTAAGGTCACTTCTTTACATTTCTAAATTTCATTCCATTTGGAAGTTAAATGTGGAGGCCATGAAGTGTTAGGTAAGGATTATCCTAGCACCTAATCTCTTTTTACTCTTCCTTTAAACTTGATAGTTGACTGGCTGGGGGTATCCATGTAAAGAGAGGAATCTAGGATTCATGGAGGATTCTGGCTTGGCTGGCAGAATGCAGAGTATTCTACTCACAGAGAGGAGAAGCCTCTTAGGAGCTATAGATTTGCTTAAGGAGAGTGAAGAATTCAGTTTGACATTAAATTTGAATTACCAAATGGATGTTTCTTATGTAGTTAGAAGGCTTAGTAGAAAAAAATTTGTGCTAAAAATAAAATTTTAAGAGTTATTCACATATAGATGGTAATTAAAAGCAGAAAAGTGGCTAAAGTCTTCTTAGGAGTACCTACATGATAAAAAAAAAAAAAAAAAAAAAGAAGAAGAGGGCCTGACCCAGAAATTTAAAAGTGGCCATTAATGGTCCAGATTCACACTGATTCCTCTGTCAAGAAGCTTGAGGAACAGAAGATAGACAGGGCAGCACCAAAAGAGGATGATATCCTGGAAGCCAGGGAAGGACAATATCTCTGGAAGATGGAGACAAGTGGAAGTACTAAATGATACAGAAAGCAAATTAAGCTAAGGCCTGAAAAGAGGCCACTAAGTTTAGCTATAAGCAGATCATTTTTACTATAGTTGGGCCAGTGCTTTGGTGCAGACAGTGGCCACATTCAAGTGTATTGAGAAGAGAAATGGCGGTGACTAGCTAACTGGAGAGCAATGAGGTGGTATCCAAAGAGGACATGGGAGAAACATGGGAGAAAAGAGGGTTTACCCTCAGAAAGGAATATCTGTTTCTTTTCTATCAGAATATAAAGGAAAGGATAAGAATAAATACAGTCACATTTAAATTTTTTTTATTTTATTTTAAAGTCTAAATCTTGGAAAAATCTCATTTGATGGCTTTAATTTTCTCTGTAAGGGACTGAGTATGAAGGTGGAGGTGATGGGTTGGAGAGATTTGAGAGGACTAAGTTTGAAGTAGCTGCCTGTGATGTAAGGATGGCATGAGTCTTTTTACAAATTTGACAGGTCCTATAAATCTAGCAAATAAGTTCCCACACTTTGGCCTTTCTGTCTTTAAGATTTCAGTCCCCTTTGCAGCTTGATTCATGGTGGTGGTCAGACTTCTAAGGTCGCTACCAGTGATCCCTACTTCCTGACGTTCACAGCCTGTAATCCTCTCACCTTAAATGTGGGTTGGACTTGGTGACTTGCTGCTAACAAGTAGAATATGCCAAAAGTGATGGATTGTCACATCTGAAATTAGGTTGTAAAAGACCATGGCTTCTATATTGCTAGCAATTTCTTTTTTTTTCACCCAATTCCACTCTTTTATTTCAAAGTACACCCTAACTTATTGGTTTTATTTTTATTTTTAAGTTTTAATTATCATAGGTACATAGAGTTGTATATCCTTTTAGGGTACATGTGATGTTTTGATACAGACATAGAATGCGAATTAACCAAATCAGGATAATCAGGGTATCCATCACCTCAGGCATTTATCATTTCTTTGTGTTAGGAATGTTCCAATTCTACTCTTTTAGTTATTTTAAAGTATATGCCAACTATTGTTTATTATAGTCACCTGTGCCATCAAATATTGTTCATTCTGTCTCATTGTATTTTTGCACCCATTAACCATCCCCACTTTACCCTGCTCCCTCTACACCTTCCAAGCCTCTAGTAACCATCAATCTACTCTCTCTCTCCATGAAATCAACATCATTTGTCATCAGAGAAATGCACATCAAAACTTCAATGAGATATCATCTAAACCCAGTTAAAATAGCTTTTATCAAAAAGAAAAGCAATAATGAATGCTGGTGAGGATGTGGATAAAGAGGAACCCTCCTACACTGTTGGAGGGAATATAAATTAGCGCAACCACTACGGAAAACAGTAGGGGGGTTCCTTACAAAACTACAAATAGAACTATCATATAAGCGAGCAATCCCACTGCTAGGTATATATCAAAAAGAAATGAAATTAGTATATGGAAAATATATCTGCACTCCCATGTGTATTGCAGCACTATTCACAATAATAGCCAAGATTTGGATTCAACTTAAGTGCCCAACAACACATGAATGGATAAAGAAATTGTGGCACACATACCCAATGGAATATTATGTAGCCCTGTAAAAGTAGGAAATCCTGTCATTTTCAACAACAAGGATGGAGCTGAAGAACATTACACTCAGTGAAATAAGCCAAAAACAGAAAGACAATTCTTCCATGTTCTCACTCATATGTGGGAGCTAAATATTAGCACTTTCTTTTCCTTGTTCTCTTGCTTGCTCTAATAAAAATCAGTTGCTATGTTTTGAACTGCTCATTGGGGAGATCTATGTGGCAAGTAACCAAGGAGAGAGGCCTCTGGTTAATAGCTAGTGGTAAAGGAAGGCCTCCCTCAGTATAATGGCTTATAAGGACCTAAATGTGGGTAATGACCAGGTGAGCACGTTTGGAAGTGGATCTCCTCCACACCCCACCATTGAACCTTGGAGATGATGACAGCTCTAGCCAACTCCCTGATTATAGCCTTGTGAGAGACTCAGAGACAGAGGATCCAGCTAACCTGTGCTTGGATTCCTGACTTACCGTGACATAATGAATATTGTTTTAATCCACTAAGTTTTGAAGTGATGTCTTATGCAGCTATAAATAACTAATATAGGCATCATGTCCTCCATTAGAGATTTATCTTTGATTATTATCAATAGAAAACAGGATGCAAGTCAGGTACATGGTGAGTTTAGGGTGAGGTTCATGAATAAGAAGGACCTCAACCAAAGGTAGTTGCTTCAGCTGATTAATCAAAGTCTTATTTGGGACTTGGGAAGATTAGGCAGCAAGCTTTTCCTCCAACATTCAAGTGAGATTTGTGTTAAACAGGTGGTCTATATCAGCCTTTGTTATCAGTAAAATGAAGAATCTCAGACTCTTGGAGTAAATCTCAACCAAGGCCTCTTGTTCTCAACTTAGGACTTGAAGAGGGCCTATTTAATGCACACTTTATCCTAATGGAAACAAAGGGATTAAGTGCTAGACTCACAGAATTTTTGCAGGTGAAGAATGGCATACAGAAAGTTCTTCCTCTGCATAGACAAGTGCTCACTATACTTTTGTCCAGATCACAGGGAACATTATTGCTTCATGCAATATGGCTTTCTCCTTCCTTCAAATCCAAAGTGAGCATCTCTTCCAAGAGAAGACACACAGAACAGAAAATGCACGCAATCTCACCAGGTCTCATGTTATTGCATTTCTATAAGGCAAATAGTCAGCAATATTGAACTGAAAAAATTATCAGGGATCATGAATGAGGTGACTGTGATTGTAAGAGCACTGAGCAGCTTAGGTCATTGCTATTAAGAATTTATAAGACAGACTGGATATATTAGTGAGATTTATCCATTTGAAAAAGTAGAGGTGTTTAGGGGCTGGCTTTTCAGATAAGAATGCACTCTGAGGGTACTAATTCTTTAAACTCTTGTTACATACTATTCTGGCCTGTATTTGAGGATGAAAATGGTGGGTCAGCTAGTTTAGGCTCATTTGTTCTATTTATTGGGCATTTACCATGTACCAGTTTGTGTGCTACAAAGCAGAGAGATAAGTGTGAACCATACACATTTTTGAATTAAATTAATAAAAAGGTTAAACTGTATGGCTAAGTCAGCTTCAACTAGCAACAGATATGAAACACAATTACCTAGTGTGTAATATATGCATGCATCATTAATCCCAACTTTCTAGGCTATTGGTGGAGCCCTAATCACAGAATGGCTAGCATGTTTTCTACGTCTTGGTCTTGATAGAAATCGTTCTCTTATTAGTTTGTCTTCAGTTGTTTCTGTAAGCTTGTGACACTTACAGGGAGGAGTCTTGATATTCATTGCAAAAAATACATAGCTTCTCAATGCCACTCAAAGCTGTTCGGATATTTAAGTATTATACAAATTTTAGAAATGTTATTTTTATGTTCTGCTCATTTTTCTAATTGTCAAAATTGGTATTCTTCAGTACTATTTTTGTTGCAAATAAAAGAAGACCCAACTTCAATGGTTTAAGTAAAGTAAAAACAAAGTAAAGCGAAACGGAAAAAGAATTTATGGTCTTGGATTGAAAATCCCAGAGGTAGAGATAGTTTCAGCTATTTGCAGTATTCAGGGCTTAGCCTCTCACTTCCATATACTCTTTTTTGTTTTGAATTGACACAATATCAGGCACTTTCACAGTGGCAAGGTGGTTGTAGCACACGGTCCAGCAAACATTTTTTGCAAATATTGCAAATTTTGCAAATATGTAAGTTCACCCTCAAATACAGACCAGGGTAGTATGTCGCAAGAGTTTAAAGAATTAGTACCCTCAGAGTGCATTCTTATCTGAAAAATCCATCCCCTAAACACCCCTACTTTTTCAAATGGATAAATCTTCCTAATATATGCATTCTGTCTTACAAATTCTTTTGGCTTTGCAGACCATATGGTCTCTGTTGCAACCACACAACTATGACATTGCAGTTTCAAAACAGCCACAATAATATTTAAATGAATGGTGTACTGTGTAC